CAAGGGAAAGCTAATTTCACAGCTAATATTATCACTTTTTTTTTTACACAATACAGTGCATGTCTCATAATTCATCTCAAGCGTGCTAGTCACTCACCGACATTATTGTCTCTTTGATAATCAAGTACACACAATTTAGAAATGATATCACAAATGAGGGAGCGATGTAATTGGTCTAAAAAATTGCAACTGTGATTTCTATTGCAACTATTCACAATGATAATAAAAAGTTGAAATCTCTTAGTTTTAATACAGATCAACTAATGGGAACAGTTGTTGAACACCCAGATATTTCTGATAAAAAAATAAAAATAAAATAAAGAGTAATATAAATTCAAAGCAAAGCGTCTAATCCTCGTTCTGTCTTTCAGTTTGGAGGAATGCCACGCCTTTCACTCAGAAATTCGAAACTCCATCACGGGCACCACTATCAGGAGGGCCACTTATGGAGGTAATCGGATCGTCGGGTCAGAGGTTATCGCATGGGATGACCCTAGCAAGAGCTATCAGGAGGCAATCGCATGGATCAACCAGAAAAAGGTCTGTCTCTGTGCCACAGTTTAAGCACACCTGCTTTTCTTTTGCACAACTGTCTGTTCAAAGCTATAATGTATGAGCCATTCATTGGATAAATAAATGATTATGAGAAAAAACACTCTCAATCCATCTACCTACTAAAAACAAAACTATTTAACTAACAAGTAACTTATTTAGCTGTCGTATTGTTTCTTTGCATGGTGCACAACAGTAAGATGAGGTGCATCTAATGATCTATAACCCCTAATGTTGCCAAGACTACCTAATTCTCACAATGCACAATTTTGTGTGCAGAAAAGGACACAAAGAAACTAATTTTATTGCGAGAGATGTATAAAGCACAGCTCACACAGAAGTCACTTTCAAACCGAGCAACTTTCTGTTGGTCTGTTCTCTCTCAGAAAAAAAGGTACAAAAGCTGTCATTGTGGCGGTAACCTTTCAAAATGTGCACTTTTGTACGATATTTACAGCTCAAGGGTGTATTTTAGTACCTTAAAGGTACTAAATATAACATATTAGTACATGAAGTGCACATATTAGTATCTAAATGGTACCTTTTGAATGGTACAAAAGTACCTTTTCGAAGATTACCATCACAGTGAGAATTTTTGTACCTTTTTTAGCGATGCAGTGATTCGCATGACCAACCTAAACATGAGTGTAGTCTTTATGGCGAACGTTTTTGCTCTCACACAAAACTCCTATTGGACTGGGGAAATTTTCTCAGCTGTTTTAAGACATCAGCAGTACTGTGTGTTTCGAAAAACTAAAATTGCTTGTTTATTTTGCAATGTTTGACTGCTGTAGACTATTGTGTTGCTAGTATATTTGTTGTACTTTACCATCAGTTGTTGGACTTGAATGCACAGTTCACCCAAAAAATT